ACTTTCAGCATTTAGCCAATGTTGTATTTCAAGTTATATTCACCCTTTAAGCAGTTATTTTAAAGTAAATGGCCAGTAAATTACTTGGTTTGAATGGGAGTAGATAATATTACGGCACTGGGAGTTCTATCGTTAACCAATGATGACTTACTTGTTTTAGCAGGCATTATGGTGGTGTTCCAACATATTGGTAAAGGTCATTTTATATGGTGATCTTAACTTTATATGATGCCACCAAACACAATATCCGCCCTAACGTCTGCAAGTTACAAAAAAAAGTAATTCCTTGTCTAACTCTTCTACTGTTTTGGTCGCCCAATGCACACGCTCACACCCCTCTAAGTACTTGTTTTTATCGTATTATTTTCTAATCTGCTATGGGCAAATTAAAAATGCTGTTTGGTCCTTTGTGACAGCAGCTGGTGGGATTGGTATCATATGGGGGTAAATGCACAAGCTCAAAAATAGAACAAACTTCAATTCAATGTCATTAAGTTGACTTTGATGTTATGTCACGCAGCTCAAACTAACATTATGAACTGAACTGAGTATTTCTTCATATCAGTAGGAACAAAGTAGTCAATTATTTACTCAATTAAGTTTTTTACAACTGCCTGAAAAGAGTTTGCAAAATTATGGGTGTTTGTCTGAACCTTGCTAATCTACAGCCTGAATATTCCCCTCAACATTCCTCACAAACAAACATTAAAAAAAAAATTTAATCCCTTTCTACTTCAAGCGATGTGAAGATTACTGCAGCTTAAGCGACAACTTTGTAGGTAAAGATAAATGGAAAGAGCATTATCAGCACTGCTTCAAAGACCAAACTCTAAGGTTGTGACTGGCAGGAGATAAATGAGTATAATATTATTGAAAGTATAGCATGGATCCATTCTCTACATATTTACTGTCATGTCTCACTCACATTTCGGGCCCTTTTCAAACTCCCATGAATATCCTAGTCTGTTTTACATTGATCATCTTGCCAAAGTTATGTCCCATACCCTGAAGCAGAAACAAACCTGTGATGTGTTGCCATGGGAACTATCGCCAGCTCAAATCTCAAATAAAGTGAAAACTAAATATCTCATCATTTTTAGTATGTTACTATGAAGAGCAGAGTGGAGAATTGCACTTGTGGGAAGATAATAGTGCCTTCCGGTTGTATTCAGTAGTTTGAATGGTCTTGTGAGGTAAATGCCCGCCTCCTGGTTCCAGAAATAAATCAGTTTCTCAGTTTATAAATGATTAAAAGCTTGTTTGGGGTGACTTATCTTTTAACGTCCGATTTATAATTGTTTCATGTCCTCAAAAAACGTGTAATTGCATATCATTATTGACCATCACAATTTCTATTTTGTCAAACACATCCCCTTTTTGACTGGAGTCCGTTTTATCTCAAACACATCAACATTCTGACTGAGATCCCTTTGGAGCAGAAACAAACGGCTGGAAATGCTCTTTGTGATCTGTGGCTCTGTTGTTTGCGGCCTCTGATAACTCATGTACTTGAATTATATCTGAAAAGACTTGAATGACCGCCTAGATTTTCCATTCCAAAGATAATTGAGGGTACGGCTGGGGTTGGGGACAGGATCTATTTACATACAAAACACTCACAGATGTGGATAAAGATTTTGCAATTGGGTTTATAAAGCGCTTTTTGGGACACTTAAAGACGCTTAACATGTCATTATTCTTTCACCCCATACACGGTGGTGATAAACTATACTATTGGTGCCACAGCTGCCCTGGGCACACTGACAGAAGCGAGGCAACCAGTATGTGCCACCGGCCCATCTGACCACCACCAACCGTTCACACACACACCAGACCAGAAGATACAGTACTTTATACTTGCTTCTTATTTTGCCAACTGTAGAGATGTAATACTTCTACATGATGTTAAAGATAGAGATTTTAAACTTGTTTCTTTGATGCTCGAGTTATAGATTTTGTTTAATTTTAATTATTATTAGTAGTATGTTAATGTATCTTGTGCTGTGTGCTCGTCATTCCTACTGTTCAGTAACTTCTGATGCAACACTGAAATTTCCCCACTGTGGGATGGATAAAGGATCTCTTAATCTCATTCTGCTTGTGCCGAATAGAATTAGAATCATCTGTATTTTGATCAGTTGAGTTTATGGTTATATTTTATCACGAAGCAGACGAAAAACGAATTAAAGCCAGACGTTCCAGTCCTAGCAGATTGTATCTTTAAGTTGTTATTTGGGGAAAAAAAAACTTTATATCACAGTGCAGTTCAAATTCAATCTACAAAGCCATATAAGCTGCACCATTGACACAACTTACTGTAAACTTTTTACATCGTATGACATAGGATGTGCTTTAATGATGGCATGAATACAAGTGTTGATCATTTGGCAAGTAAAAAGCAGCTAATGGCCACAGATGCAGTATGGAGTCAGTTGGCAGATGTTGTGGTGGAGACAATTTGGAACCTCCCTCAGACAAATGGGTACATGGTCGTGCCAGATCAGGAGGAGAAGCCGTGATGAGATGTGCAATGAACGCAATGCATGCAATAATAAACTATATGGCCAACTACAGAAAACACAGATGTGACTAAATGATTTGCCAAGTGGATGAGAACGAATGTCTAGAAGGCTTCCACAAAACTACCATTTAGAAAAATAAACCAAGTCAGAGTGTTTGATATAATTACTGCTTTTTAGACTTAAATGATGTATGTTTGTGTTTTGGTCTAAATTTAAAAGAAACATAATACATAATGCTTTCCCCCGATATGAAGCGCTATTTTATATTGTTGAAACTTTCATTCTAGATGCGAACATTTACCTAAACACACTATCACATTTCTTTTGACATCAAAACCGGTAAAGTAAGGGATAATGTATAGTAGGTAGGTCATTATCGGAAAATAAGTACCGACAGGGCGAAGCGGAGGGGGGGTCTGCTTCCGCCCTGAACTTCCAAACTAAAACTCTCTTGAACTGCATGAAAACTGAACAAAGAATTCTGAACATCAGCGGTGAGTGACCCAAACATAAACTCAACCTAAATCCATAATTCGATCCTCTGCAAATGTGTCCTACAATGTCCCGGAACGCAATCGCTTTTCTTGCATTAAAACAGTATTTTTGTCATTCAAAGAGTATTTTTGTCATGAAACCATTAACAGATTATTCTGAAAACCTCTGTGCACGTGTATTAAGAATGTATGTGTATAATGTATTATCCGATTAACATTTAAATGTGTTGATTGAATGGTATTTGCGTTTAATGAGCGTGGCTAGCTCTAATAGCGACAGTAGTAGTGACGAAGTGCTTGAATTACAAGCAGAGGGTGCGTTCATGGGCAGCGGTCATTATTGTTTTGAGAGGTCCGTTATCAAGAATTAATGACCGGTAGAACGTTTTAAAATTACATTCAAATCAATGGAGCGTTCTACTGCTGCTGTGAAGAGCTGTGTAATAAAACACAATAAAACATATAAAAAAAAAAAAACATCAACGTACTCAAATTAAAACTAACTATGTTAAAAGAGACGGTAAGGATAACACTATTGTACGGAGATAATTGGGTGACTCCAAATCCAAGTCATTCAGATACTTTGCTATTACTGCATGTGAAAGGATTAGCACCTCAGTAAACAGAGTTGACAGTACACAGACAGTATACAGACCGTATACAACCAGATTTTGTTTGGACAATGCCGGGCTCTTGGCATGGCTCCAATTTGAAGGAACAGATGGGAGTTGCTGACACTAAAGGTAAACAAAAGACTGTTTGCCGCATTTAGCTTGTCACAGCTTGACTATGTTGTCAAACAATCTTTACATCAGATTAAGTAGCTCATTTGCACAAATAAGATGTCACTGTCAAATGGGAATCGGGCTTCTGCATCCACCTGGCAATCACAAATGTACAAGTGAATATACAGCTACGAATCCTGAAATCTGATTGATACAGTGAGGTAGTGCTTTGTAATGTCCAAAAGGAAAACTTTAAAACAAATAGGGTTGAAATTAATGATTATTTTGATTACTGTTGTATAGATTCTAAAAAGTCAGGGAATATGGGGTTGTTTATACATTTAACAAAAACAAAGGTTTCGTGATGCCTCTGGAGGACATCTTCATAAAGACTTACAGGTTGGGTTCTTTGAATACAAATATTTTGTAAACACATTTTCATTTCATTCTGCAGTCATCATACAGTATAATTAAATGACACATAAACCTATTCTACATGTGTGTAAGTTTAAAAAAAAAAACGATAATTAGTTGACAACTATTATACTGTCTTGTAACAGCCCACAATTTTTTATCTTTTTTTGATTTTACAGTGCTGGTTTATGATACGTGTCCTTCATCTTAATTGTAACTTGCCAAAACAATGTATGGTTGACCATAAAAGCAGAAAAAATCATCCGATCAATCATTTAAATTAAGTATATTTTTCTAATAAATGGCTTGTCTTTTATGTTCTCTAGTAGTGGTTGGTAATTCTCACATGTCACTCCACTTTTCAAGTGTTAAATTGTGGCTTTCTACAATGAAATGTGTTTTATGATCATTTATTGCTTCTCTCTTTATTTTACAAAGTGGCAAATGTGTCCCCAAATGTTCTCTGGGCTCTATCGAATCAAAACTGGGCTGGCACGCTTTGTTTCCCAGATTGGTTGTATACTTTTCAATTTGGTTCTCTTCTGGTCGTGTGATTATCCATTTTGCATTGCTGCTGCATTCGTTCCATCCCATAAAAAATCCAAATGAAAACCAGACCCATTAATTGTATGGAAATAACAAAGTATTCAAAAGGCTACTTTGACAAACAGCCATTACATCAGACATCACCGACCACAAATTAATGAAAGAAGCTTTACAAATATCACAGGCTAATCAGTTTTTCTTCTTCTTTCTCTCCCCTCTACCCATTTCCTCTCCTCTGTCCTGACTTCACCCTATTCCTCCCATCCCCTCCCTCTCTCTTAATACAGGCCCCACACCAGATGGGCGCGCTGACCTTCTACCGCTATGAACAGCCCATCGTGGACTACTGCCAGGCTCATCAACCCCTTCGGCTCAACATGGGCTACGAAGGACCTCCCCAGGGACTAGAAGGTCTTGAGGAACTGGGACCGTGCGACCGGGGCACCATACAAACAGTGGCCCTACCCGCCGTGCCACCGGTCTCCAGTATAAACACTCCCATACCCAGAGCCCGATCGCCGCCTCCACAACTGAGACCCCCGGCGGAAGGCCCCAGCAGCGGACCCTACCCTCCTCCTGAACGCACTGGCACGCTCAAGTTTGGACGCTAGGCAGCCAAGTCAAATGGTTACGGATAGCGTTGCAATGAATGGGGCAGATGAGGTGGTTCTTTGATTTGAAGGGCCTTGTTTTGTACTCAGAAACGAGACTTCTCAAATATAAGCTGAAGACATGCAGGAAACACATAGGGTCTTTGCTTGACCATGACTCGAAGAACATAAAGACATCCTTCTTGACTCATTTTCATTATTTCATACGGTATGTCGTACAATAGCCCTTTATACTGCCTCTGGGGAGATCAGCAAAAATAGTACCTCTTCAATATCCAATTATTGGAGCATACCCAACGGACCAGTCCACATGTCCTGAATCATGGGGCCGTTTGAAGTGGCGTGTCCGGTCCTACATGCTGAAAAGAGATGAAGGAAATGTTAGAGGCATCTATTTGTTTTATGTTTACTAATTTTGATCAGCATGTCAAACCAAAGAGTTATTATGTTATTTTCATAGGCTTTTAAAAATGTATGTTTGTAGTCCATGCATAGTCAATAATGCCAATTTAGGCCTAGAGCGTAGAGTGAATGACCATATTTCATAACTCTCCATTGGGTTATTCAAACTTCATCTATGTTCTTGTCTTTGTGAAACATTACCAGCATAAAGTTCAGTTCTGTGTAAACAACCGCCTGTTCTTTTGCGTTTTGATCATTCCATTTATCTATCGATGACTATATCCAATGTTTTAAAAAGGTACACCCATCCACATTGGAGAGCATTGTACATATTCTTCTATGGTTCCCACTTTTTGAAGACTGAACCACTCTCACTGCCCCAACCGTCATTACAAACCGTGATGAGTCAGGATTTTATTCGCATTACACCGGACAATTTGGAGTGGAACAAATGGCCGATCTCTCTGGATTGGAAAGGTTTGGTCCAGCTATGTGCTTTTCCCCATGTCCCCAGCAGCAAAGAGTGCCTCACGGGGACCATGATAACTTCTTGTTGACCTGGCCGTGAACCCAAAGGACAGACTGGGAATAAAGCCGAGATCTCCGGAAGTGTATGCCAGCCGTAAGGGACTTTTTATTGCTCCCAGTAACCCTTTGGCTACTGTTTCGAGCACTGCGGCGCACTTACGGTATATAGAGCCGATGATGACTTCACTTGCGGCTGGAATGGCCCGTCTAAAATCACCACTCGCATTATGCACAGAGGGTCATTAACTGTATGCCAGTGATGGAAATAATGCTTGGGTCCTTCAAGTGCAACTGATCAATCCACTGACAAAACTCAAATGGGCCAAAATACATTATGAAGAGGATTTTCCATATATGACAAAAATATATATTAAATGGACACGACATAGGGAATTATTTTTGTTCTGTTTCAGCTCAGAAAAGACTATGGGTTTTGAAGATGATGTCAAGAAATTCTATAAGACTTTAAAAAAAAAAGACTTCAATAAAACTTATTTATCCTGTAAATAGTAAAAGCGTTATCTTCTGAAACACATATTGCTTGTGCGACAGAAGACAGGAGCCTTACTCAAAGTTCGGGTAGGAACCAAAAGCAAGACAACACAGAGAAAATTGATTCCTACTCTGAAGCTGCTGTCGTTTCAATGATGAGTATTTTTCTATCTGCTCCCATCACGATTCTGCCATTGCGTTACGTTACTGAAGTTATTTATCGAATGCTTTTATGGAATCACACTATAATGGGTATATTCTGGGCGCTTTCATTGTGATGTGCTTAAAGATCAACTCAACGTCTGATGTTTGCTGGAAAAAAGCTGGTTTTCTATTTTCTAACTTCACCATGTTATTGCTTTATGATACACTTGCTGCCATTTTTCTGAAAACATTTTATATTGTAACTTTTTCTTTTTCTTAAACGTGCCATTTTATTTTTATTATATTAACCAGTTATCATCCTCAACACAACCCCAAATTGTTCAAGAAGGGCTCATTCCCCCTTCATGTACAGAAAAATGCCAACAAAATTGTGTTGAATTCTATAATAACAACTTTGCCAATGTACCCTATCCAATCCATGCATTCTCCCATACCATCCATAGTACGCCATCTCCTCCTTGGCCTGGATTTCATGTCTGCCCCTGTCTTTTTTTTATTTTTATGATGTGCTATTTTCATTGGCATGTCGATATTTAGGAGTCTTTATGCCCGGTTAGGGAGGAGCACTGAACCACACAGAAAGAGGTAGGAGGTATTTCTCGCTGTCCTAAAAATCCCCCGCTAACTTCATTCAAGTGTCATGGACAAGTTCTTTTGTTCGCCAGCCCTTTCCCTGCCCCAAAAGAGTTGCGTGGCACTAAAGCTAGGTCACTGGATAAAGATGCACTGCTCACTTCAGGGGACAGTTACACAATGGGGTACTTATGAAAGTGTCTAGTCCTTTTGACTTCAGATCTTGTCGAGGACAGATGTGTTGACCCAGATCTTTCACCAATTGTTGTAGTGTGTAAAAGTCAAAGTTTGCAATGACATCCTTGTTCATAGGGAATCGATAGAATGTTCACATGGAAACAGTCTTGAATTGTAACGGCTTTCTTTACACTACAACTGTTAATATAATTTTCTAAAAGGTATATTTTTTGGCAAATAAAACTGATACTGTATGTCACATGGAATAATTCGCAAGTCTTGAAAGCCCTCTTGAATACTTAAGACCAATTAAAGAATTGAGCTCTACAATTTCCATTATGAATTAAACACGAAACATGTCTCAAACCTGTCACCTATATCTTCAAAATTTGAAAGGATCTTTGTCAATTATCGAAGTCACAAGGCTGTTTAGCTTGTGCCAATTTAATGCAAGATCCATATGTACGTTAAAGCAAAGGAAGAATCAAAGAACCATTACTCAGAACACGGTGCATAACTGAAGACCCTGTCACGAAAGCCATTCAGATATGTATAAAACTACAAAACAACATTAATTGAGAGTGATGGCCCTGACATTGTGCTGTACTTGCTAAGTAATTATGAAACCTGAAGCTATTCGACTTCTCTCTAACGCTTTGAATAAAAAATAAGTCTTGTGTAACTACCATGACAACAGTCGGAGATGGCTTTCCAACATTAGCTCTTATGAATTTAGGTTATACCATTATTACTCGACATTTTAGTCCGTGGCTCCTTTGTGGAACTGACCCCTGGCGAAAGAGCTGGCTGGCACTCTATCAGCTGTAATTACTTGGAGTTTTCACAGTGCTAATGAACATCTCACTACAAAGCCATTGATCACAGCCATACCATTCCACCATTCGTTCATTTATAAGCACTAATGAAATTGTGGTATTAAAGGAATAAAATATAGATTGATCTGAGGGACCCTTCTGATAACATCAAATCTCCCCAGCCCATCCTGCTGCCAGACATTATTTAGTCTTTTGTCCATTGTGTTGTCATCGGAGAGGAGCAGCCTCCCGTTTTGCATGCTAATGATGCATGTTTGAGCTGCACTACACGACCGTCTGTGCGCCCTCGCCATGCCAACAGACAGCCTGTGTCTTCTGCTTTGTTGGTGCAGACGGAAATCAAATCAGGGAAAAACAATATATAAAGTTCAGTCCTCACATCGAATGAACCAGGATATGGCCAGGTAGTATACCAAATTGAAGAGTTCATGTGCAAAAACAGATTTCTCCATTTTGAAATGTTGTCCAAATATTGTCCTCCAGTTACAATCTTCACCATGGTCTGGTAATGACACTACACTTTAAGTAATTTGCTCAAGAAGGGGTGAAACTTTATTTGTACGGAACTAAAATAAACTAAAATAGATCTGGCTTTTCACAAAACTACTTGGTAAAGAGAAAATGTTAAGTTTTCTGATGTGTTTCTATGGCACTCTCTTGGAATCTGTTATTGCATATAAACTATTCAAATACTTATCGGTCTGGTTCACTTAAACTGGGTCAATTTGGTTCATTTGGGGCAAAAAGTCTTTATTTGTGGATGTGAACGACAACGTGATTATCTTTTTAGTCACTTATCAACCAATGTATTTCAAGATGGCGCATTGACATCGAGCATCTTCCAGCGTCCATGCATATTTATAGGTCAAATTCTACGCCTATAACAACAAATAAAAATTATGGTAGAGGTGATTTTTAGTCTAATTTTTTTTAATAAAGATTACATGTAGGTTTTTTTTTTTTGTGGTGTGTGTATCTTTTAAGTAGAAAATATTAAATCAAGTATAAAGGGCCTAATTTGCGCCTGGACATCCCTATGCTACCACTATAGGGAGGAGGTGATTTTGTGTTCTGATGAGGTTTCAATGTTGTAACAAATATTCATCCATCCATCCATCCATTTTCTTCCCTTTAATCCATTTCTGGGTCAGGGGGGTGGCAATCAGAGATGCCACCCAAGTCTCATAGCACCAGCCCCTCACTGACCCTCTGCAGGTGGTGAGTCCACAGGAGGACGGCTGCTCTCTGAGTGAGAGCATGGCCTTGATCTTTCAGTGGGGGCTTTGGGCAAAGTGGGGTTAAGTGTCTTGCCCAAGGACACAACGACAGCAGTCATCAGTGGGAGTCGGTGGAGAAGGTGCAGAGGTGGGAATTGAACCCACGACCTTCTGGCCTTAAGGCCAATGCTCTACCAACTGAGCTACTGTCGCCCCCCAACAAATAACAAATAACAAATATTATGGTTAAAAAATACACCAATACTGAAACCAATCTGAGAAGCATTTGTATAAATATAATCCTGTTATGGTAACATAAACATACTGCGTTTTAGTTACAATCAAACAGCCTTCACACAGCTTAAACGTGCAGAATATTCCAAGTTAAATATGTATAGACTCGACTTCTACTGTCAGTACAAACCTGAAAGACAGAAACACATAGCAGTAGCAGATTTTATGTAATTTGAGCCAGATTAACAATAATAAATCAAATATCAAAGACTAATATATTTCAATTTATCTTCTATTATGACTAAAGTAATCCCAGAGTAATGCCATTTCACAGTATATTCCATTTACATGTATTAATATTGATATTTCTAACCTT